AACAATTCCAGCATCAAGGGAGGAAAAACACATAAGTTTCCCTCGAGGCATTATCAAATTCTTCTGGGGCGCCTTCGACGGTCAACAGTGGAGATGCGAAGAAGGGAGTATTGGAAAAAAGACGACTCTAATTGACTCATCACTAAATAGAGTGAGTGTTCGCTGCGAAGAGCCTGAATACCTCTACAAGTATGCCTTATATTGAAATTCTTGGGATCACATAAAAATTAGCCTCTCATGACAGTGTATCTAATAAATTTTATTAAACCTCACCACACTCTCTGCCCTCTGCCATCGCCAAAGGGGGTGGCCGAACATGGGATCTCTTTGAATTTGACCCCCTTAAGTCATCAAATCGCTTTATTGGATAAACTTTGCTGTGTTCTCCCAATTTAAAAACTTTTGCAATAAACTCTCTGCAGACTTCTCTTCTGCGTTGCCGAAGAACCAAGCAAGAGAGAAAGAGATATGATCAATAATGAAGACTTGAAGTTGCCAAAGGGGTGGAAAATTATTCATAAGCAATTTATTGCATTCTGTTATCCCTCTCGAATGTCGATTTTTCACGTCTCTCCGCAATCCTCGGCATTTTTCATCAAACTTTGTTCAGCCAAAGAATCAGGACGACAGTTAGATATTGAATGGTGGCAGAGAGAGAGAGAGAGAGAGAGAGAGAGAGAGAGAGAAAAAGCAACAGTTTCGCTAATGAGCACAGAATCAAATTAATTTGCGTATAAATGCATTATCAAAATGAAATGCGGTGCATTAAATGAATACATTTAATTAATAATGAGAGCACAGCAAAAATATAATAAAGCGTTACATTGATAACGCAGATGGGAAATTAAATACGTTGAAATCCGCACGGATTGGATTTTTATCTCATGCTTTCAGGAATTATTTTCATATTTGTAATGGGACACAAGGTATTTCGGAGAATCACGCGAAAATATACATCTTTTCAAACGTTTTCATGTACAGCGTGGGCACTAATTATAGCTCCACTGTAGGTATCCAGGGTGTAGGTAGTCTGGGGCAAAAACAAAAAAAACCAAATATGGTGTTTGATTGCTTATCCATAGCCAAAACAAAACCCCCAATATGAGGCCCCTCCGCCGGATCCTAGGGATTCTAGGGAACTTTATCACTTTCTGGCCTGGCACTAATTATAGATCCACTTGGGAAATTTCACTATATCTCAGCGAAAAAAAATCGGAAAATTCTGAAAATCATAAGGATCCTTCATTTTGAGCCCAGAAACCATTTATCGTCGCCATACCCCGCCTCGGTCCTCCGTGGACCCCACTGTTAAAGGTCTTTGCCTTGCATAACACGATATTCCAAAATGGCTCCTCCGCAATGGGGCGGGGGGCCCAATGCCCATAAACTGCTTCATAGGGCAAGACTGAAGCCTTTTGAGTATAATTGGGCTATCTGACCCCGATTCCATCCTTGAATCCTGGCCTTAAGCACTTCTTCCAGGGTCTTTTTCTGCTTCTTTGGACCCAAACCACCCCAACCCCCGGGCCACCCCCAATGAAATGGGGCGAAAAGTTCTTAGGACACTTCTAGGAAACCCGTGGACCTTAGATCCGGGGATGGGTAGCGCCTCGGAGGGAGCGCCCTAACGTAGAACGAGAGCCAGTTGAAATTCAATGAAAAACCATACAATTTTAGGTGGTTTTCGACTGGGTCTCATTCCACGGTGTGGCGCTCCCTCCCAGGCGCTACCCATCCCCGGATCTAAGGTCCACGGGTTTCCTAGAAGTGTCCTAAGAACTTTTCGCCCCATTTCATTGGGGGTGGCCCGGGGGTTGGGGTGGTTTGGGTCCAAAGAAGCAGAAGAAAGCCTCGGAAGAAGTGCTTAAGGCCAGGATTCAGGAAGGGTATCGGGGTCAGAAATCCCAATTATGCTCAAAAGGCTTCAATCAAGCTCTGTGAAGCAGTTTATGGCCATTGCGCCCCCCGCCCCAATGCGGAGGAGCCATATTGGGCGATCATGTAGTACTAGGCAAAGACCTTTAACAGTGGGGTCCACGGAGGACCGAGGCGGGGTATGGCGACGATAAATGGTTTCTGGGCTCAAAATGAAGGATCCTTATGATTTTCAGAATTTTCCGATTTTTTTTCGCTGAGATATAGTGAAATTTCCCAAGTGGATCTATAATTAGTGCCAGGCCAGAAAGTGATAAAGTTCCCTAGAATCCCTAGGATCTGGCGGAGGGGCCTCATATTGGGGGTTTTGTTTTGGCTATGGATAAGCAATCAAACACCATATTTGGTTTTTTTTGTTTTTGCCCCAGACTACCTACCCCCTGGATACCTACAGTGGAGCTATAATTAGTGCCCACGCTGTATATTCAAATATATTCTGTCATGAAAAAGATAAAGAGAAATTTTCTATTGATAGTTTATTGATGTTTAAATTCAAATAAACACTTGATTCTCTTTTAAATAATTTCTCTGATTAAATGTCTGTGTTTGGACGCCAAATAATAATATCGGTAACTTATGCATGTGAAAACATCAGCTCGTGTATAGTCAAAACGCCTTGCGCAATAATATCAATCAATCTCGCATATTTACATTTCATATGATTTTTCTATGGCTTTGAATGAAAAGGGGTGAATAGTGATAAAACACAAATCATATTAAAAGCAAAATATGGTTGGAATTTTTGCTAAAATAATTAAAATCTCCATTTAATATAAAAAGCCACGAGTGCATTTCAGAATGTTCCTTTTTAAATTGTGGTTGATTAACGTCCAAAATTAAGGACATCTTCAACATCTCACTGCAAACATGTAATTTTGCCGCATTTGCACATCATCAGTTTGCATTTTGGGCTTAATTTCGACAACCCGAGATTGACTTGCATGTTGGTCTGGTTGTGTATTTGAAGATGCCTGTCGTCTAGAAGATGGTAAGGAATTGCAAATGGGATGCGAGAAATTCTCTGTGTACAATTCCATGTGTACAACAAACAGCATCTGATGAAATTGTGCGGGAGATGAAAAAGCCACAGAGGATCGTGTCTTGAATAGTCTTCTTCACCATCGTCCTTGAGTCAAATCTCAAATTCACGGAAAAGACACATTTTCAACAGTCGTTGTGTCAGAGAGTATTTTTTTTGAACCAGATGCTCTGCATTTTACACATGAAGAGAATAACGAATTAACTATTTAATTGGTGCACCTCGAGTTGGAAAAACTGATGGATTTTTCTCGTTTTCACCTCAATTGATTGACGCTCACTGACAAAATGACGATTTTTCACTCATGCTGACGACATGGAAAATCACTGAATTTCAGCCAATCAAGCTGAATTTCCCCGACAATTTTCCACATCACAGAAATGAATAAATGTTTAAATTGTACATCATAAAAACAGTGCGCAAGGCAGAAAACCGATGAGCTAAGAAGCAAATGCAATTATGCCACTTTTCATTCATTAACATTAATTAAAATGACTATAGTTGCTTCTCAACCTGCAAAGCTCTAGTTTTTTTTATCAAAAGCTCTCGCCATCAAAAATTCGTTCAAGGAGTTTCCCTTTTTCCACTGAGTATTCAAATAAATGAAAAATATTCCTCTCGCCAAATGAGACAAGCGAGAAAAATTCATTATAGTATTTAAACAAGTCTGACAAAGATTCTCCAACTCATATTCGACAAACAACTTCAGCTGACTTTGAACTACGAACACATCTGCAACACTCGAATGAAAGAAAAGGTTCTTTTTCCGTGATTGTTTTATAATTTCCCCCCATTGGAAAGAGTTCAATTTCAAGGAATTCACCATCTAAAAACCAATTCAAAATCATATTCTCCTCATGATTGGGGCAAAGTAATTTTCAGCTTGATTAAAAATCATTCAGTCCGCGCTGTGATGAAAAAATGATTGATTGACTCCCGCTGGAAAAGTGCATTTGGGGTGATTTTTTGCTTAATCCAAAGGGGAGATGCATTGTTTGAATACTGATGAAATGATTCATGTGCTGGCGATGGAAAGTGCTCTTCTCTTTTGTGCAATAATTGAGTTAATCTGGGCAAATTGTGACGAACATTCACTAAAATTCAGAGCATGAGAACAGTAAATTAATTAATTTTTTCTCTCTCTTTCTCATTTCACATCATTTTCAACAGACTTTTCATGCCTTTTTCAACAACTTTTTTCTTCTTGCACTCTACCTGAATTTGCCTTGAGTTAAATCCCTCGTAAACCGAAAAAAATCCCCCAATTATTTACTTTCCTGCATTGAAAAACAATTCTCGCCCGCAAAAAGGGACGAAGCGCATTTAATCACTTGAGCAAATATTGCCCTTAATTCATATCAGTAGCAAATACACATCGTATAATTGCAAAACTCTCAAAATATTTGCACTTTTCTCCCCTTTTTTCGCGCCCAAACTGTCCATTCTCCTTTTTCTCTCCTGATGGCGAGAAAATCCTCAGACTTCGTGCGTAGCGTCAAGATAAAATCCATGGCGGAATTTCAATACGCCGACGAGATTGAGTGGTGTTTTTACTGACGCGACGGGGGATGGCATTCCCTAAATATAATCGCCCGTGGGCGTAGATAAATTATTTCACAGAATAGATGCGCGCCACTCAATCAACATCACTAAACATGTTTGTATGCCTGGCTGTGATGATCCCAAGAGAACGAGGACCAAATCGGGAGATAAATTTGCATTTTATCGCTGCACACAGGGAAAGAAAGCCGGGCAGATGCTCGAGGAGGGCAAAAAGTGGCCGGAAGGGAGTGAAAGACTCGAGGGTTGCAATTCACCCTCCGACTGTTGCTTTTGCGCGACTCCCCTGTTGTCATAGATAATATTAACTTGACGTCCACCCACTCGGAGGAATATTGATGTTGTTTCATCATATTTACTCTAAGAAAATCCATTTCGGGAGTGCAGAAGCGAGCTGGAAATGGAATTAAAAACTCTTCAGGCGAAATCTATTTAAAATTGGCGGGCACAGAGATACGCAGCCTCAACTGAGGTTATGTTCAATGTTGCCGGCTGTCACGGGAAATTCGCCAAAATTGCTGGAAAACTCTGCGAAAATTGTAGAAATTTGTGTGAATTTGCGATGTCAACCCTCGCAAAAACTACCCTAAGTCTCTCATGTGTGGTGTCCCTGGGAATCATAGGCTATGTGCACTACAAACAGCAATCAGACAGGTCGAGTGGCCCTCCGGAACGCAGTAGAGGGTGAAATTCAATGAAAATTATACAATTACAGGTCAAAATTGCACGAGGGAGTCATCAAGGATGTGGAGAGGCAGCAAAGGCGTAAATTGGAGAACACTTATCGACTCCAGGAGCAAATAGAATTGACCAAACAATTGCAGAAAGAGCAAGACGCACTAGAGAAAGGTTCTGGAGGGTAATGAAACCCCTGTGGCACTCGTGCAGGAGATTTCGATAGAATATGTACAGAATAAGATTACCTATAGTGTTAAAAGAATAAAGGACTGATCAGGAGAGCCTGAAAATTATTAAAGAAAAGCGATTACAGACCCATCAGAAATGCTTGGGCCAAAATCCTCTTCTCTTAGTCACAATTCAATGTTCATCCGAGGTTTTACTCGATAATTACTTTTATTCAATATCCAATATAGAAATGTTTGTTACTCACCTGTTAGACAAATTTCACAAAAAATATAAAACTTTTTTTTTATATAAAAAAGGGGCTTCTTCCAGATATACTAGTAAAAAAAAGGAAATATACAAAATTGAGATTACGATCCAGAGCGCTCCAAGTACAACCAAAATAGTGATTTTGCTGGGAAATTCTGCGATAATTTGATGAAAATTTATACATCCTTCGCACCGGAGGGTGATTCAGACTTTCGGAGCATTTTGACGCCACGGCGACAGTTGGAAATTCATGAAACGTGCGCAGAGAGTAAATCATCGTTAACGTTGCATTTACATAATTAGTTCAGGGAAGATTTTCCTAGCAAGAGGTGGGCGCTCCATCCTCTGGAACGTTCTCTGACACCCCTCCAGACACGAAAGACACAGATAATTGGGACAGAGGCGACTTTTCTTACACAAATCAATGCATGTACAGAGGTTTCAGTGCGGGTTAAGGGAAGAGAATCCGTGAAACTGCCTCTCGCCTCCTCTAGAATTCCCAGGATGGGGCTCATTGTCTCCGCCGGAGCTTCAATAGCGTCCCTTCCGTCCGTCGCGCTCTCTGCTGCGTGAGCGACGACGCTCGCGTGATCTCTCGCGACGCTGTCGCGGAGACTTGGAGCGAGATCGAGAGCGTCCGCGACGCCTAGCGTACAGGTAGCGACGGAGCTCTCGCGAGATGGGCTTAAGGTGCATGAAGTTGCAGAAACCAGATCGCGTGCACTCGCCCATTTCGTACTGGCGGCAGCACGCCTCCCGGAAGTCTGTCACAGGCGACAATTCGGCGTACACGGGACGTCCGCCGAACCAGCGATTGTTCAGATCCTTGGCTGCACGCTCGGCGTCTTCCTCGCGACGGAATTTGATGTAAACGTTGCCCACCAAGTGGTCCCCCAAGTTGTCGCACACGTTCATCTCCTCAATCTCGCCATACTTGTCCTCGCACTCCACGAAAACGTCCTCGAAGAAGTTGTCGTAATGCTCCTGCATCTCCTCATCAGACACATTGGCCACCACTGGCGGAAAAAAAAGAAAAACACTTGAAATCGCTTCAAGACGCCAAAATTGAGGTTAAATTGGACTTACAGTGACTGCCGTCGGCGGATTTTGCCGAATTCTGCGGATTCACGTAGAGATTCTGCAGAAGCACAGTCTGTGAGAAGGTTGGTTTGTTGTGGATTCTCGAGCATCGATCTCCGTGACGACAGGCCCCAATCTTGAAATAGAAGGAGCAGTTCACCCTGAAAAGAGCCCACCCGGAATACTGTCATTAGCGTCCACTGCATAACGCACTCATTTCTCCGTCTTACTTGTCTTTCTCCGTGCCGAAAATCGACGCCAAGTACTCAGCCATGGCTCGTGTGTGCACTGCAACCGGAAAATGCGTGAAAAGTGCCGGAAAATGCCGGAAAAGACGCAAAAATAGCGGCGGCTTCGCAATGAAAACAATCCCCAGCCACACTCGCAGCGCACTTCACACTACTTCCCTGGCGGCGAAACGCGGCGAAGAAAGTGATTCTGCAGAATCTGCTTGTGCATTGTTTTCATCGCATTTCTCAACAATTTACTGAAAAATTCTGCGAAAGGAGAGTGAAAAACCCGCTAGAGGATGACTATCGCGTCCAAGGTAAGCATTCTGCATAAAATATCTGCGGAATTCCATCAAAATAGATAAGAAAAGTGATCTAATACGAAGCTTCTTTCTTTGCTGCCTTATGGATGGGAAAACAGATGGAAGTGGATGTAAACCGTGGAGAGGGCTTCCGGTCATACTACATCCAAAAAATAGAGGAACTCCAGCTAGTTGTGGCGGAGAAAAGCCAGAATTTGCGCCGTCTGCAAGCCCAGCGAAATGAGCTGAATGCTAAAGGTGAGGTTATGTTGCTTTATCATGACTCTTCCTGACTTGGGGTGTTTCTTTTCGCAGTCCGAATGCTGAGGGAGGAGCTTCAGTTGCTGCAGGAACAGGGCAGTTATGTGGGCGAGGTGGTGAAGCCCATGGACAAGAAGAAAGTGCTGGTTAAAGTGCATCCAGAGGGGAAATTCGTGGTGGACATTGACAAGAACATTGACATCAACGATGTGACACCAAATTGTCGCGTGGCGCTCAGGAATGAGAGTTATACGCTCCACAAGATCCTGCCCAACAAGGTGGATCCGCTGGTGTCGCTGATGATGGTGGAGAAAGTCCCGGATTCTACTTACGAGATGGTGGGCGGACTGGATAAGCAAATCAAGGAGATTAAGGAGGTGATTGAGCTACCCGTGAAGCATCCTGAGCTGTTCGACGCTCTGGGCATTGCTCAGCCGAAGGGCGTGCTTCTGTATGGGCCGCCGGGAACGGGAAAGACACTCCTTGCTCGAGCTGTGGCACATCACACCGAGTGCACCTTCATCCGTGTGTCTGGCTCTGAATTGGTGCAGAAGTTCATTGGAGAGGGCTCTCGAATGGTCAGGGAATTGTTCGTGATGGCACGTGAGCACGCACCATCGATCATTTTCATGGACGAAATCGACTCCATCGGCTCATCGCGCATAGAATCCGGAAGTGGTGGAGATTCTGAAGTGCAGCGCACGATGCTTGAGCTTCTGAATCAGCTGGACGGCTTCGAGGCCACGAAGAACATCAAGGTGATCATGGCCACGAACAGGATCGATATTCTAGATCCCGCCCTACTCCGTCCTGGTCGCATCGACAGGAAGATCGAGTTCCCGCCACCGAACGAGGAGGCCAGGCTGGATATCTTAAAGATCCACTCACGCAAGATGAACCTCACGCGCGGCATCAATCTGAGGAAGATTGCCGAACTCATGCCTGGCGCTTCAGGGGCAGAGGTAAAGGGCGTGTGCACGGAAGCGGGCATGTATGCGCTGCGAGAACGACGTGTGCACGTGACGCAGGAGGACTTCGAGATGGCCGTGGCGAAGGTAATGCAGAAAGACTCGGAGAAGAATATGTCGATCAAGAAACTCTGGAAGTAAGGTAATAAATCTGCCCTCACTTTTATTATATCTAAAATCTCGTGTAATCATCGTCTCGCTTGGACTCGACCATTGGATTGAGACTCTTGGCGCCGAATCGGTTCACGCTGTCGGAATCCAGACTGATGTTCTTCGTGTAGGGCATAAATGTGGGATCCTTGTCGATGCCCACAAAGTCAGATTCGTCAGACTGAACGCTCTTGGTGTCGTACATGTAATCCCGGGTGAAGTCTTGGTTGTTCAGGGCGGGATTTTTGCCCTCGGTGGCAAATATATTGGTTGTGGGTGCGCCCATTCGATTCAAATTGGACGACACTGAGCCAAAGTTAGTCGTTGAGAGCGCCTTCAGCTGTCTATTGAGACTGCGACTTCTCAGATAGAAGGCGATGCCCAAGACCACACATACAACGCCCAAAACCGCACAGACAACGATCAGGATGATGTTCAATAGAGCTTGGAAAGAGTCCTGAGGATCACCACTTTCAGGATCTGTTGGAACGTAACCATTCAGGAAGAGTCCTCGCGCCGTAAGATCATTCTGAATAGCCTGAATGAAATCCAGATCAACAATGCGCCTAGAATAGAGACAAAATCTTTAGCATCAAACTTCGATGCTTATCCGAAATCTACCTACGCTCTAATTACGTCTCCGTCAATTGCCTCTGAATTCTCAATAAAATGGCAGCGCACAACGGTCTGATTATCGTTCTGAGAACGCCTCTCGATGTCATCGATATTGGCGTCAAAACCGAAGCGTTGTGTAAATACAGCTCTGATCTGAAAGAGACAAATATTATGTGAGATTATTTTACAAGAATTTTGCAATGAGTCCAAGATCAGAAGAATAGTTAAAACTGTAACTTAAACCTAATGTGCAAATTCTTACGTAATTCTCCTCTGCCCTGACGTCATCCAGCATATTTAGGAAGATGAAAGACACTCTGTTGGACTCAGCAATAATGTAGATCTTCACATTGGCTTGGTCAGTGTGAGGCCCAAAGCCTGTCTCTGAATCCCTGACTTCGATCTGGAATTCAAAGTATCCTGTGTGTGTGTCGTCAATAGCCCTATTTAGCCTCAAAATTCCCGAAGTTGGTTCCATTGTGAAGGCATCGTTCTTGATACCCTCAAGATTGTTCCCATAAGCAACAATGGTGTCTGTCAAGATGTAGTAGATCAATTGACCCTGATCAGATAAATCTGGGTCAGTGGCGACAACTGTGAGCAGAGCCTTTGTGACAAAGTCACTGGTTGTGATCCCGACGCCGTAGTGATCCAGTTCAAATTCAGGAGGATTGTCGTTGATATCTTCCACCTCGACCTGGATCTCGAGGATAGAGCTGGACGTCCAAGAAATTGGTCCGTCGCGATTGTTTGTAGCAATGACATTAACGGTGTGAACATCTTCATCTTCACGATTCAAGGGCTGTTTTAGAGTTAGGACTCTGGTTTCGGGATTAAGACTGAAGTAATCAGATTCCGGGTAGATGAAATAGTAGATGGAGAACATCTCCTCAGGATTTGTGACTCCTTCGTTTTTAGGATCCTCAGCTTCAGGCAGGACAAGTGATTCTGCCATTCCTGGTGTGTTTTCTGTAAACTTAGCATGGTAAACAGGGTCGTTGAAGAAGGGCTCGCCTTGAATATCCACAAAAATGATTCTCAAATCATTGAGATCCTTAGTTGATCCTCCACCGTCTCGAGCTTGAAGATTCACACTGTACGTGCGACTCTGAATGAGTTCAATGATTCTCAAGTTGGACCTTTCGCGATCTTCCTTATCAAATCTGAAGACCAAATGATCTTCACCATTAGCGCTCCCTGTGAAGGAGAAGCTGACGTCGCCTAGGTCTCCGCCATCAGGATCGTAGGCTTCGAATGGAGCTAGGGGAACGCCGTTGGTCATCAAGAGAGGAGAATTCACGTAGGCATCGTTGAATCTCAGGCGAATTGTGCTGCCTTGCACAGGGAAAATGATCGATGGACTGTGATAATTGTAAGGATCAATCCTGAGATCGTAGGTCTCTGTTGAGCTCAAACTGATTTGAGAATCCCATTCATCACCATGATCGTAAGCCTCGATTGTGATCTTCCAGGTGCCGTAGCATCCTCTCAAGTCACTCCTGACAACCAACGTTCCAGTGTTGGTTCCACGATCACTTACAATTCCAAAAGCCTCTGTCATGTCAGGGATGGGATTTGCGTGGTTCTCTCCAGGTTCGATCGATAGGATTCTGTAGGAGACTTGAGAATTTGGGGTTTCTGGATCATCAGCATCTGTGGAAGTGATGAGAGTTCGAAGGTTGTAATCCTGAAAATACGTTTTTATAGTTTTTGATTCGGAAACTAGACTTGGTTGTGGACTTACAACTCCTATGTTCTCAGCCACAACTGGTTGGAATGCAGAAGGAGTTGGCATTCTAGGAGCATTATCATTAACATCCAACAGGTAAACAGTCACATAAGTATTATCGGAGTTTGTTCCTGGAAAACAAGTATTTTCAAACTAAATGATCACTCTACTATCTCTAGCATTGCATACTTCCGTTCCCTAGGTAGTTATCTTCGTATTTAATAGGGATATAGTGGCTTTCAGGACCGAAATCTCTGTCCAATTCTGCTCCTCCTAAGAGACGAACACTCAAATCACCGGATTCGGGGTTGATCTCGAAGAGATTCTGCAACTCCCTGATGGATTCGTAGTCAATCATGTACCAGACAAAGTTGTGGGGAGAATCTCGATCTTTATCCGTCGCCTGGATCCTCACGAAGACACCTTCAGTCATGTTTTCGTAGATCTGAATAGACTTCTCGAAAGATGCTTCTTGAGGAAGTTTATTGTTCGTGTCGATCATCTCGATGAGGATCTGAGAAAGACAAGGAGAAACTAGAACACTTTCTACACTCTGTAAAATTGAGAAATCTTACATTCCCATTTGTGACGTGCAAACCGTCTGTTAGGGTAATGACGTATTCTAGGTGCTGCAGAGGAGGTTCATCGCAATCGATCGCTTGATCAGCTTCCACTTCGATCACTCCTGTTGTTGGGTTGATCCTCACCCATCCTGGCGTTGTTCCTTGCTCCTCAACCGCTTGGATTGAGTACGTGATTTGGTTGTATTCTGGCCCATCAATATCCTCAGCTGCGATCGTGCCGATCAGAGTGCCGGCCAGAGCCTCTTCGACAACACTTCTCAGCGTGTTCAGAGTGTCTCCGACGAACAGTGGCGGGTTGTCGTTCACATCCTCAATTCTGACTGTCAAGATTGCTTCGGCAACACCCAAATTCACTGCCTGATTTCGATCTTCAACCATGATCGTCAGGTATATCACCTCGTACATCTCATAATCGATGTCGCGGGGAAAATCTGGATTAATTTTTAAATGTCCCAACACACGATTAATGCTCTCAGGGTGTTTCTCAATGATGAAACAACTGAAAAGGATCATTAGAATTAATGTAAGGTCTTAAATGATTTTCACTTTTGGGTGAAGTACTTCTCATATGTGGATTTTTCTGCTTCCTGACCGGATTTTGTGGCATAAGACGCTTCCCAGTCGATCCAGAACTCCAGATCGGCTGTGGTGTCGGGATCTGTGGCCAAAATCTCGGTGGTGACGACGGTGTCAGCAAGAGAATTCTCGAGGATTCTCGGAGTCATGCGAGGCATTCGAAGATCTGGCGTTTCATCATTCACGTCCAGCACGACAATCTCCAATTGAGTGTAAACTGTGTGGAGAGTCTCTCCTGGATGTCCTGTGATTAGGGAGTCTCTGGCCTGGATCTGGATGACCACATTTGTCTGTCTCTCGTAATCCAGCACGTTGTTTTCGGCTATTGACACTTCACCAGCTTGAGAGCAGGAGAATTGGGAACCCAGAGTGCCTACAATTGAGTGGAAAACTTCATCATCAACATCACGATCGATAGCCTGAACTTGTGACAGGAAATATTCGGCTCCTTCAGTCTCCAGGACCTCCACAATGTACTGATGATGCTCAAATTCCGGCACCTCGTCGTTCCAGTTGGTTAAACTCACTCTAATGAGTTGCTCTCGTTGGCGATCTTGATAGTCCACTTCAGTGGCAATAATTCTCATTTGAAACTCTCGCCATGTGAGATCCTCGTAGTCCAAAAAGGTGGCATTGGACACTGTGATAAGGAAGGAGGTGTCTTGATAGCCAGTATTGGGGATTATTGTGAAGGCCTTCTGGTAGTCCTCGACATCCTCTTCGCCAACAGCCAACATTTCCACAGAATATGTGGCATGGGGGCCCAAATCGATGTCATTGATGAGAAAAGTTGTGAATGGGAGTTGCGTGTATGTTGACTCAGGGATTTCAACTGTCTCTGGAGTGAGGAAAATCTCTGGGTAGTTGTCATTCAAGTCGTTTACGATAAGAACTGCTTGACCGTCGATCAACCAATTCTCATCGTTGGCTTTATAAGCAATTATCTAGACAGAGAGAGAGAAAAGAATTCGTTGATAAGATGATATTAAGTCAGAAGGGTGCATGACTCACAGTGAAAGTGAAGACTTCCTGTTTCAGCTCGTCTCGATTGATGGCCTGCACAGAAATCACTCCACTGTCCTCGCCGATGCTCACAAGATCGTATTGCGACCAGTCCTGGTCAAGAGGGAACTCCAGGCGATACTTAATCGGGATATTAATTCCTGTGTCGCCATCAATGGCGATCACGTCGAAAGTTTGGGGAGTTTTTTCGTCAAAGTTCTCAGTTGAGAAGGGTTTCACCCATCGAGGCGGAAGGCTGGGCACATCGTCAACCTCCAGCACGATTCTCACTTCTCCCGTATTGTCTCCGGAGTCTGTGAAGACCGACCTGAAGTTGTACACCTCGCGTTCCTCAAAACGAAGCTCCTGAACAACACTGAGCGGGAGACATAAATAACCAGATTAATATTGTTTGACGCAGGACATAAATCTAACTTAGTTTAAGACACTTACATCAGCGTGTATGTTTTAGAATAGTCATCAGAGGCGATTTCCCGGAGAGAAAATAATTCATTCTCTCTATTATTGCCTATGAGTGCGTATGTTAGCTCATTATTCTCCAAAGAGTCCGGATCGTGGACATGAACGTGGCATTCGGTGTCTAAGTCAGCTTCGAGTTCTTTGGCAACACAAGGCCCATCGTAAAGGAGCGTGACAATTGGATCGGTGTCTATCAAATTGTTGATGGCACAGTAGACAGTCATTCTCGTGGAGCCAACAACAATCTCCAGGATGTACTGCAGGAGATTCAGTGTCTCGTAGTCCTGTCTTCGAGTTATTCTCAATGCCCACACGTTGTCACGACGCTCAAAGAGCGCCCCGAAGCGAATGTCATCGCCGAAGATCCAGGATATCGTAGGCGCTGTTGTGCCTGAGTACGTTAAGATGAGGAAATCAAAGGGTTGAGGAGATATTTCCTCGTCCATTTGCATCTGCAGTGTGGTGCCATCGAAAGATCCGATAGTGATTCCAGAAGTTTCTGGATCCTGAAAGTATGGCTCAGTCCATTCTGCGGAAAGAGTCACAAAACACGGGAGGTTGCATAGAAATAACGCATCAATAACATCACTCAATAGTATAGTATTTTCTCCAAACTCGAGACACTTACGTGCTTCTGAAGAGTAGATTAGCGTTACAATGAGCAGCACGAGCAACCAGAAGAGTCCTTTATCCATTTCTGTCACGAAAAAAGCCTTAATTGTCACACTGAATCATAGTAGAGGCACTTGGAATCAATTCCCGGAACACAGATTAGATAATTCTTGGCAATTTCAGGCAAAGTATCGATTTCCACCCCAAAAAGCGCCAAAACAATGCGACACTCAGCGCTCCTAGGTGATAAAAACTCACTTTTGATGGTGACTTTTTAATTGAATTGACTGATACTGTGCGCAAAATATTTCGTTACGATAAGGAGTGTATCGGATCCTTTTGATGATCTACAACTAATAAATATTGTTTTTCATACATGAAAATGCGAAATTCAACCTTACTTGATCTCTATTTCGGGTTTATCTCTGCAGCAGCATTGATTGCGGTTTTGATAAGAACAAATTCGTTTATTAACAAATCACCAGAGTACAAAATATGCTTCCGGAAGGCACGGGAATATCGTTTGTCAACCTCACCGTTTCGTCTTCAACTGACCACTGAAAAGACTGTAATTCTAATTGGCAATATTTCGTGTTCGCTGGTAAGATTGCGAGCAATCAATCAGCCATTGGTTGATAAGATATCGTATACATTAGGGGAATTCATCAGCCTGATTGTGCTGTTGACTAGAAAATTTGTGTTTCTGAGAGAAATCGTCGTTTCTGAGTGTACATACTTAAGTGATTAGAATTATCCTTACACAAATTTACAATTTTCGTGCTCTTCGAAGCTCTTATTTTAAGAAGTCACAGTGAAAACATATGTCAGAAGAAGTTATCTGTACAAAAATCAAAAAAGTCCTCAGAAACGCTCTATGAATGCCCCTTTAGATGGATCTTCTCTACAATTTAGGCGATCTTTGAGCATTTTGCATTGATTTCTTCCTGATATTCCAAAGAGTCTCGTGGGCGTCGTCATAAAAGGGATTTGTGGCCTTCCTGACTCTCTGCATCCAGGCTCTCAGCTTCGGGCGTCCTTCGGTTGGGTCAAAAGGAATCAGAGCTGGAAGAAACGACGAGGATTAGTTCAGCTTCTGTGTGAAAATTCATAAAAAAGTCTCACTGAGTTGTTCCAGTTCGCATATGGCCCAGATATCCGCAGCTGAGACATCTGTACCGACTAGAAAATCTCCTTCGGCTAACCAGACGTTCTCCAGGCAATCCAAAGTCTTGTTGACCTGAGAGTGGCGTTTCTCCAGGACCTGATCATTGGGCGGTTGCTTGGTTTGGCGTGGCTTCAGCCAACTCTCGACGAAGTAGCCTGAGCAGGGCGCCCGGACGTTGAGATGGTGCCACTCTAGATACTCATCCACGCGAGCACGCATCCTGGCTCCGGTCGGATACCATCTGACTATGAGGCTACTCTTGGTGGCCAAGTATCTGAGAATTGCGATGCTCTCGCCCAGTTTGAAGCCTGCGTCATTGATGCTGGGGATTGTCTTGAGGTTGTTCACTTCCCTGGCGAAGGACTCTGTGGCGTGATCACCTACAAAGCGCCCCCGAAGCGTTACATAACCTCCGAGGTGTCCGGGAAAGAAGTGACTCACCTTCTCTGAGAGCGATTGTCACCGTTTCGAAGGGAATTTTGGCCAGATTCATCACAATGTACAGCGATCTACATGGCTGTGACATGAGATTAGAGTAAAATTTCAGATTTGATGACATTTTTCACTGTGAAAACTCGGAAAACTTCTAAAACTGCGAAAGAAACGCGTTCTTGAGCGTGAAGTGGCAGAAAGTGAGTGCGAAAGGTCGAATTTTTTGCCACTCAACAGCTCAATACATATCCAGCTGGACAGACTTATCGTGGTATCGCTGTTAAAGCCACACTTTGATAATTTAATAAGCGATCGACGAGGCTGGAGAGTCGTGCTTTTTACAACGCAGGTGAGATTACAAATACAGGTGACAAAACCTCAAACTGAGAACAGCCAAAAAGTCGATATTTTGCACTCTTTTATGGAATTACATGCACTTTAGCCGAGAATGTCTATTAAAATTATTGTTACTGATGTTGATAGTTTCACTTTGTGGCAAAATACTTGGCGATATTATGAATTTTAATGGGAAAATGAGCAAATGTGCAAAGCGCGGGAAACGGCGCCATTAATTTATAACTCACAGCATGGGACGTGACGTCATACTGACAGGGTCAAAACATTGAGAAGTGTCAGAAGTGGAGGATTTCCTGGTACTTTTCCGTGCGATTTTCTCAGTGATTCCGTGAATATCCAGCGACCAGAGGATGGGCAACGCGGGCAGTAATATGCCGCGAGAGAGGCACAAATCCAGTTCGGCAGACGTGACGCCCGGATCGCCGGGAATGAAGGATGGTCAGGCTTTTGTGTTTGAGAAGAAGGTCGTGGCGCAGCCAGCGGAAGAAAACGAGCCCTACTACACGAAAACAGTGAAATCCGTGGGCCAGGAGCCCGAGTTTGTCACAGAGTTCAGGCAGCGCGCCCACACCACCACAGACGATCCGCGGGATGAGGATGAGAGCGAATCCGGGGATAAGAAGAATCCGGCGCTGCCCACGGTGTTCAAGTGGGACGGCGGCGGACGACAGGTTTACATCAGTGGCACCTTCTCCGACTGGCAGACTGTGCCGATGGTGAGGAGCCACGGAGACTTCGTCACAATCATCGATTTGCCAGAGGGAGATCATCAGTACAAGTTCCTGGTGGACGGAGAGTGGAAACACGACCCGAAATTGGTGAGAAAAAGAGTATTAGGGCTGCTGTCCTTCAGAAGATTGCTAGAGGTCTTCCTTGCAGAAAAACATCGATAACGATGTGGGGAACAAGAACAACCTGGTTTCCGTGCGTCAGTCGGACTTTGAGGTGTTCCAGGCGCTGGCCAAGGACAGCGAGGAGGGTGGCAACAATGAACAGAAGGAGTACACTCAAGTACGTCGCAATGTCTTCCTGTTGAGGCACATTCTAACCACTGCTCGCCTATTTTCCAGGAAATTCCGACCAACAAGCCATGGGAAAAGGTCACAGGACCCCCAATTTTGCCCCCACACCTTCTCCAGGTGATCCTCAACAAGGACACCCCGCTATCTGTAAGTCACACCCTCGTTCACCCCCTTGGCTCTTCAAAACACACACAATCATTACCCAAATTTCTCCTCAGTGCGAGCCAACTCTGCTTCCGGAACCAAATCATGTGATGTTGAACCACCTGTACGCTCTGTCCATCAAAGATGGAGTGATGGTACTGAGTGCCACACATCGCTACAGGAAGAAGTACGTCACGACGCTCCTCTATAAACCCATTTAGTATGTTTATCTCCACATTTTTGCTTCCTGGAAGCCCAAAAGTGAGTCTTTTGGGCTGCTTGCCTTACTTTGGCAGCAAATCACCAACTAATTTAGGATTTTACTTCGCACGCCATAAGAAACCAACGGTGTATGGTGTAGAGAGTGGATTTTTTAGGGCGCTTTAAAGGGATTCAGAATCTCTGAAATCCCAGAAATGGCTCTGGAAATCAGATTTTCTCTTATTTGTTGCTTGTAAAGGATTTTATTCTATTGATACTGGACGGCTGTTTACAGAGATAAATTGAATAAATATATTTGCCATGTAAAGAATTAAATTGTTGAGTTTCTGTGTCCTTTTTCCTGAATTTTTGGTTTCTTTTGCGCGCCAGGCGAACCGCGGTGTGAAGTTGGCGACGAACAGTGTTGACACGCGCTGTCAGCCGAGCGAAGAAGAAGAAGTCGAACTGCGTGATTTTGTGCTTTTTTACAGTGAAATATTTCCATGAAAGAACAGTGAAAATCTCTCAATTTTCTAATGCCTGCAATCTCCGGTCTGCAATAATGCGAGTTACCATCAAAAGTAAGCACCGTTCGGGGCAGGAGTGTCTGAAAAGCGGACCAAATTCACCCGCCATTGTTTTGTTTTGTCTGAGACCGGAATAGGTGCTTTCCGGACACAGGGATGTTGCTGTCCAGATGCTGATGTTATTGTTATTTTGCAGGCTGGACAGGCGTTGCAACGTGGCGATGGATCGCCAATGATGATAACTGTGGCATCTGTCGCATGGCCTTCGAGAACTGCTGTCCAGAGTGCACTCTTCCGGGAGACGACTGTCCGCTCGTGTGGGGCGCCTGCTCGCACTGCTTCCACATGCACTGCATCGTCAAGTGGCTCAACTCGCAGCCCATCACCCAGCAGTGTCCCATGTGTCGCCAGAACTGGCGATTCAACGACAAGTAGAGACTTCCAGTGACCAACCCAATCTCAGTCCTTTCCTGAGTTGAGTGTAGGCGAGAGACAATCTCCCTGGTGTTTTCTAGAAGAACAGTGAGTGTGTGAGTGAAGAGTGTCCGAGAATCAGCCTGAGAAGTGATCCAGAAGCGAGGCAGAACAGGTGAGAAATTCTGTAATTGACTGCAGAAATTAATTGTGGATTAATTGTTTAATTGCTCATCACCGGAAGACGGGGCATGATTGAAAGTAGGGAAAACTATGAGGAATGTACAGTTGATCGAGGTCTCGTGATGCGCAAGAGTTGCTCAAGATTTGAGATGCGCAGCAAGAAAAGAGCGGCAATATTGGTGGATTATCTCTCACATAACTCTGGCCATTAAATTGGCTTCTTCTGCCTCGGGGAAGATAAACACGACGTATTTTGGGCAAAAATGAAAGTCAATCAAGACTGAGAGAGATTGAATTGAGGCTTCAGATGATCGGTGGAAGTTTGATTTATTAATTGGCGTCACAGCTGATTGAGTAACATATGAAAAGAGCGACACTTTGCTTACTTCATCGCGAGACACTGGGCAGAGATTATCGTCAATCATCCCACTTGCGTGGCTTCTGCGTCTCAGGGAAGTTGTGGGTGGTGGACAGTCTATTGTATGCAATGTCTTCTGCCAATTTGCATGCTGGCTTTGATTGATTGATCTCTCGCGATAGTCATGGTGATAAAGTATTAATGTGCCACAACTTCATGAAGGCGTGAATTGCGAAATTTGATAAGAATCAATTTTGCGAGAGTGCTTAGAAAATTGTCTCAAAACCATCCAGCTGAGATAATTGAGAGTGTCAAACACTCAACAACTCTTGCTTGCCCAATTTGATTGGTATCGCGGTCGAGAAGGTGGCAAAAGGCGTCCCCTTTTCTCGCACAGACACTAAAGGCGATTCTCTTTGGCGAGACATTGTGGAATTTACTTACAATATAAATCAAAGAGCGAAATATATTTTTTAGTAATAAGAAAAATTCTCTTTTGCAATTTAACATTTAATGATATTGATGGAAAGGGGAAAGGCGAGGGAAAAAATCGTGACTCAAATTTGCCTGAACTTGGATTGTTATTCGCCACGCGACCCACCTCAGAAAAGACAGTCACGCTATGACAAAGGTCCGGTGCTACTACTATCTTTTAAAATCTTGAAGCTCTAAATGTGAGTTTTAAACAAATTAGACATTTTTGGCTTTTATTTCTTGAGGGTTTTCAGAGTCTTTTAAATATGTTCTGATTATCGAGATTGGTAAAACATTTCCACTGAAGTGTATCAGTTGGAGTAAGTTAAAGACTGTTTAACAGAGATTCTCACGATTCAGTTATTATTTTACGATTTGCATGAAGCCTGAGCAGCATTGCATGGCCAGACGGTGTTTTTTTGGGCGCCACGGGAAAAGCCCATACGGTGTGTCTCGTGATTGAATAATTGCCCTTTTCATTGGATTAAATTATAGAAATGCTTGGCTGGCATCGCTAAGGGCCGGCATAAGAAAGTATATATTTTTCAAACTGTGCGCGCGATAGAGAGTGAAAATGATATTTTTCTTTGCGTGATTTTTATTTTATGCGTGTGATGTCTTTTTTTCTGTGGTCCAAAACATCATCATGGATATTTGAATATTTTCACTCTCACTTGAAATTACTTTACTTCTTTCTTTGCTTGGGCGCCAAAGTGCATTTTGTTAATGAGAAGGTGGGAGGGAGAACGAAGAGAAAAACGAAAGATGCATGAGGACAGGCGTAGTGAGAATAATTTGATTGATTACATTGTAATGTATTGATTGAATTTTTCCAGCTGAAGGTGTTGCCTTTGGGCCAAATCATTGATGATTTAATGAAATTTCTTTGGATCACTTTTTGCGTATATGCCGTGCGGGGAAAATAACTTCTCCACATGCTGTTCTCTTGTGATAATGTCAGGAGAGGCCTTTTTTTGCTGCTCTATACAAAATACCTTTGTTCGATGGTTTGAAAAACAGCGAGAAAGGTGAAATATTTAATGTCATGGTAAATGTGCATTACTGCGCGGTGTGTCTCTTCGATTGTACATGCAAATACTTTCGGATTGTATAATTTACTTGTGATTTTTGCATAAAATCTGAAGGTTTATGCTGAAAAATTTGAATGAATATCTCTCCTGATAGCTTTAATTCTTGCCCGAAATCAAATTTTTATGTAGATTGATGCACTTTACGACTTATGAATCACTCTGTACTTCTCTCTCAGAGAGAATGAGAGAATTTGAATGGATCGTTGCGGCCTCGAGAGGCATCAAGCAACTCATAGTAACTTTAGTTTTCGCTGAGTCTCCGTTCGGGTATGTTGCTGTGAAGTCATTCGGAAGCGAATTCATTCAATTCTCTGGATATTAGGCAGTCAGCAGAGGGAATTCCTAGCATATTCACAGTGAAAATCCCAGAGGAGAGAAAGCAGAAAGGCTTGTAAACTTTTAAAAAAGAGTGTTTTAGATGAAAATTCACTTCCATACTCTGTCAGAGTATTGAAGGCAGATATTTTCTTATCAATTTGCCAATTGGCAATAATACAATATATTGTGCTGTGTTATTGTGTGTGAATTATCGGCTGAAAAAAGGTGATCGAGAGAGTTGTGTTGCTTCAAGAAGATTGGAATTGCAATAGTGTGACGTGGATCAGGTGGTGAAGAATGAATGTTGTATTCAAATGAAGTGAGTCAGAGGGAATTTTGCTGCGCTCATACAAATTGCTAGTGAGGATAGACACAGGATAGAGTGATGATATCGAGGAAACCAGGACCGCCAGTGCCACCGAGGCCGAGTGCGGCTGTTGTGGCTCATGCCAGACTCAGTAAGTCGCAATCTGGTGTGATTGTGACGGGTTCTGGTGCTGCTGGACGCACTCTTGTCTACAAGTCACCATCGAGCGGGGCTCTGGTCGATAAGAGAGCACTCGCGACTGAGAATGATGCCAGCAAAGTGGTGATTGTGGCCCAGCAGAAGACAGAAGACAGTGAAAACCAGAAAGAGAACCTGAAGCCTATGCAACTGGAGATGTACACAAAATCACCGTCTGTAGTGCGCTCCAAGAGGATCACCAGCGACTCAACTCCGCAAAAAGTCACCCAAGATGATGATCTTCCGGTGAGAGATGACGATGTGGTGGTTGTAAATGGGCCAATGATGCTCCGTGAGGAGAACCGTAATCGCATTGAGATAAAGTCAGAGCACCAGCAGCCGGTGGCGACGGAAAAGACGGAGATTATTATTAACAGTGATGCAATTGAGGTGAGAAATGGAAATTCGGCCAAGAGACCAGAACCAGAGGGTGATGAGGCGCCGACAGTGCGTGAGGATCCTCTGCCGGTGGAGAAGAAAGTGGCCTTTCATGAGATGTTGATTGCTGAATTGACGGCAATGCGCACAGAGAAGATCCCGATGAGGAAGAAGCGCCAGTCAATTGACAGATCGACCGATTCCTCGCCGAATGGCACTCAGAGATCCCGAATCAGGACGTCGGATTGGGTGGAAGTGGGCGACAATGGCAAGACAGTGGTGCTGACCAGTTGCCACATCAGTCTCGAGGATTCCGGCATGGAGGATGAAGAGCGACCTGATGATACGTCGTCAGGAGTTGGAGATTCCTGGGACAGCATGAGGGACAACGAGGAACGGTAATGAGTTGTTAGATGACGGGGAAATTCTCAACATTTTACTACGTTATGTGAATGTTAATTGTTGACATGATAATAGAGTGAGGCAATTGAGTAATTCTCATGCAGTTTTGGAAGTGAAATTGACCTGAATATTATACGAAACTTTTTCGCTGTAATAGCAATGTGAATTTACAATTTATTTCAAGACGAACTCCCATTTGTTTTCGCTAGCATTAAAAGTCAAAACAAAGATTTAATTGTAGACATTTTCGATAGAATCCTCGTGGTTGACATTCTTAGTCTTGGAAATCCTCACAGACTTCTTCTGCTTCTTCTTCCCCTTCTTCCCGACGCATTTGAGTTTGATTGGAGGTGTAAATTAAACAAAACTCATGGCGACACCTTCCTGTTTGAAAGTGTTGGAGAATTTCCATTCGCGCAGATTCCAATCAGTGTGGCAAATTGATTAAATCACATCACAATAACGTGAAAATGGAGGAAAAAGAGATGCCATCGGCTTATGTAAGGTTGCAAAGTGAGTTCAACGGCGCCGAAAAGAGGCTCACAAAGGCGAGAGAGAAATTGAATTAACAAATTTTTCATCTGCTTTTATTCCGGTCAAGAAAATTAATGTTGATCCGATGATGGTGGAAAAAAAATCATCGCTGAATAATATCAAGGGGAAGGAATGTGATCATCACTCGGCTCTCTTTTCCATGGGTTTGAGGAAATGACTTTTTGTGTAATACTTGACTTTGTTGGTGGCATTTCTTGGCGTTATTTATTGCTGCAACACTCAAAATGTTTGTATCGAAACTGTGCGGTGAAAATCTTCCTGTTTGTCTTCCACACAGCGCTTTTTCCAATGCGTCAATTGATTTACACAGATTTGCAATTGGGTTGACTTGTGCAATTCTCCAATATATTGTTGTATATTGTCTCCCACCAAATTGTCCATTGTGCACTCCTTCACAAATTATTTCCACTGATTTGCATTAATTTAAATTGTGCTTAGAGAACATCGTAACATTTGCAAACAAACACTGCGTATGTGTGTGAGTATTACTGCAGAGTTTGCACAAAATTTTCTACAGTAGTTTTTCTGTGTCGCAGAAAATCGGCTCCACTTTGCATGAGTGGCGGGAAAAAAAGAAAGAATTCGAGACACTTTCAGAGGGTCTTTTAATTGCTCTCTTAAATTCAATTTATTTTGTAAAATGTTCCGTGTCGATGCAGAAATTCTCTGTGTCGCGACGGTATTTTAGCACGTGGCGCACGAGGGTTTTCCTGCTGGCGAGGAAGTGAGACAGAACTGAGTGGATTTTTGGTGAAGGTTGCAAGTTAAAAATATCACGCAAAGTGTCTACATGAGCCATTATTGCATGTCTGAAGCGGGAGACACAGAGTGTGCCAATGAGAATGCAAACAATGACAATACAGACTCTTTTTAGAGTGTATCGAAGTCATAATATAAAACCAGAATGCTGATGTGCATTCACATTGCCACACCCTGTTAAAGACAGTGCAAATGATGAGCAGAACAAGACAAAGGTTGGTGAGAAAATGAGGGAGAGATTCGTGGGTTATGCTTGAGGAAATTCTCAAGAGTCTTCCCAGTGAAGTTCTGCTCACCAACCATGCCAAGATAGAAATAATAATAATAATAATGCTGCCCGAGAACTTTACTGTTTTCAATTCTATCTGCGGAAAAGAAAATTGACTAAATTATCTCACATTGTGTTCTTTGTCTCACCTGTGAAATTGCAGTATTAACATGTCGCTTCCTGGGCTGCCGCCTTTACCAAAGAGTCTGAGTGGATTTGACTTGTCGGCCGCTCAGCAGCGTCTCTACCAAAACGAATGCCTGGCCCTGAAGAACACCGCGACGACGGCATCGACGCCAAACAGCAACAACGCATCATCGGCCGAAGATTCGGCCGCCGCCTCCGCCCAACTGCAAGAGATTTCACCGTTGGACAGTAGAAAGTCCACGCTGGACACACAATTGGACATCTTGAGGAGGGAAATGGTGAGTTCTTCACACTCTGGTCTGGTTTTTACGTAAGCGCACGATAGAAGCGAAAAGGTGGACAAATTTTATGTCATTCGCGCAGGTTTTTTTGCCCACATGCACATTCCACAGATAACACATGAGATCCGCTACGTTGAAAGACGATCACTGTGTCGCGAATTCGCGGAGTTTTTCTCCGGATAGTCGGCACTGATGGATGGGCCAGGAAGTGTGTGTGGTTCTATGATTCGTTAAGCGAGTTTTTGTGAGGCAAGAGTCATTAGATGAGATGCGCGAATAACACTTGATGTGGCCAAAGTGTTACGCGATCGTGCTAGATTTTTATGGAAATTGCATTGATATTCGTTTCCTAAATACCAAAAGAGTTTCTATCATTTCAGAGAAAATCGGTGTGATCTAGAAACTCGTCTAGAAATTTCAGTACATTAGCAATAATAATTTCGTGGAATATAAACTGTAAGATTGATGCAGACATCAAAACACTTCCTTGGTGTGTACAAGATCAACAAAAATCAGAGAGACACGCCATTAATCATCGTAGTTATGGTGAAAATCTCGCGATGGCGTCCTGATAACATGATTTGGAAGCCTCTGACCATCCATTATTAATTGATTTTCACTTTTATTCACTGTTTATTGCTTTATAAATGCAATAATTGGGAAAATTAATCAATCAAATTGCCATTAGAAATTTTTCTGCATTTATCAAATCAATTTCTTTGCACACTGACTGTGTTTGAATGTGGTTTATCGTACGCAAAATTGCCTCAATTCTTCCGCGAGAGGGTGATTTGAGAGAGTTAACTTGCGTTCTTCTCGGTGAAGTGGAGGTGAATCATGTTGAAAAACGAGTCGATCATATTAATTAAGCAAAAATGCTTGGGTGTGTGACTCATCTCGCTGTCAAGCTCGTTTTTCTGTCTTATCGTTCCTGCTTCTTAGCTCTGCGTCTGAGTCTTTGACTGGTTTTTGACATCATCCCGCAAAACTGTGTTCTTCAACACACCTTCGAGGGCATATGAGTATCGCCACGGGGCGAATGATCTTTGAGCAATAATACATAAATTATTTTTATTGTATTATTTTTTTTCTTTTGAATAAAATCACGAAATAGTGTGACTAATTTTCCACCAATTTCATCGACAAATGCGCCTGTTTTTGCTGTTGATTGCTAATGTTCTTGTAATTTATGAATAAAAGAGATTGTTGATGATGCGGAGGCGCGATATGAAATGGTTAATTATTGCCATAATTTCTCATGAAAATACAAGCATTGGTATTATAATTTTCCCTGGAATATATGCGTGAAAAGAGCATAGAAAAAAGTTGTTGGGATTTTTTTCACTGCAACTCTGCTATTTAGTGAAATATTCATGTGAAACATAAGTCTATTGATTAAGGTGAATCTCACGGAATTGCATTTTATGCAAGAGGAGACCAAGAGAGAGAGCGTGCGTTAGAAGAAAAGTGTCTGTTCAATTGAGAGCGACTCAAGGTCGGTTTAATTTTTCTTTTCCTCAATTTTCTCTCACAACATATGAAAATCATGCGTTATTAGTTCATATTGTATTGGCATGAAATAGCGAGAGATTGAGAGAAAATGATATTTCTTGCAAGAATTTGCATATTTTCCTCAATCCTCTGGTTAGATAACGCGTGTTTGTGTGTGGAAAAAAATATTCCATAGACATGATCTTTTCAGTTTCTCGTGATCTTTTTTGTCTTCTCCTCAATCGCTGATGAATTGTTGAGTTTCTTATGGGAAAAAAATGTCTAGTGGATTGTATGTGTTAAGTTTCTTTTAATGCGTACTGAGTTGGAATTGCAAAATTTATAATAGGAATAGAAGAAATACTGTCCAGCGCAGTTCTTTGAATTGAGGTGGTCTTTTTGTTTGATGGGGAGGTCTAGAAAATGACTTTCAAGGTTGAAACGCGGTGCAGAATAGCACGAGAGAGTGAATAGACGCAAAATTTAATAATTGTTGATTATTTTCTTCATACAATTTCACGGTGTATTGTTCACATTGGAAAAGTGTGTAGAGGCAATTGCAGGGAGGCAAAAAGAGTGTGGCATATTGATGAAAATACAGGGTGGTGCTATTAACTTGTCCTGATAAATACTTCTTGAGAAGTTACACATTCATTGAATCACGAGTTTTTGCATGCTTGACTCTTGAGATACAAATTTTCACCACAAAAATCATTTAAGTGTTGATTCAATTCGAAATAATTTTTAAAAAAGCTGTCCGTTTGGGTTGCAGAATGCTTGATGTTGTCCTGTCCGTGACTTTTCTCGTTCGTGCTTTATTTCTTCACCACCCTTTGGCGAATGCTTGGATTTCTTGTCGTAATATTTCGAAAGACATCAATTCGCAGCAGTTAATGTTGAACCACGGTCAGATTGTAATGATGATTATTAGGTGGTGAATTAATTCACACAACGCGGCATCTTTCACTCCATGAACTTTCTGCGTGAGTGAATCGCACACGAAAGTGACAGTGGAATATTAAATGATTGAGGAAATTGAATAATTTTCACAAGAAATCTTCTTCTCTTTTCACTCCCTTGTTGAAAAATAAATGAATTTTGCTGTCACCATATGAAGAGCAATGGACTCTTTTTTGACTCATTGAAAATTGTCTGGGTGTTTTTCGCTGGCGTGAACACGAAGGAACGCTGTTTTTATGTGTGGTCTTGTGAAGATTGATTGGGGAAGATAGAGTTGTGTTATAGCTGTTCTTCTGACCCGTGAGGTTCTTCACGCGGTGTGTTCTTCTCATTGTGTCTACCCAAGCATTTCCTATGGTTCCGACTCTCGGAATACACATCAAATGATGGCATACCTGTCATTTGGTCTGTGGGAGAAAAGAGAGGCTTTTCCTAGGTGAAAATTTTTACTCTTTTTACGTTAGAGCAATTTGCATTTTTACCTTCGACGCAATGGCGTCTTTGGCTGTTCCGCTCGGCTGTTGTTGGTGTGTTTGTACAAATGTTCACTCAACATGATGATTACTGTTGCGGAATGGGTGGATTTTTACGATAGTTCTCATCATTATGGACAATTAGTTGGGCACGATGACGGAGAGTCTTGCAGGGTCTCTGCCTGAATTGTCCTCTACACATGTTCCAGTTGGTTGATTCTGGCTCTCAATGCGATCTTTTGCGATATGTGACGCTTTTTTCCGCGCTTGAGCGGCAAAATTGTTACATAAAAGAGCGCAATGTTAGGCCAAAGTGAATTGACATTGTTGCTGTTGATAGTGTTGTTAATTGCTGTGGTCAAATGACGGAAGATGACACTGAATTTTCCCATTCTTGTCCGCTTGCTCACTGTTTTTCTGCTGAATACAGTTGTGTATGTGTGTGGAGTCGATCCATTGCAATTTCTGCAGAAAGAACAGAAAGGCAAAGAAGAGGCATTATATTTATGATCGAGTATAAAAGATGGGGTTATTCACATTGCATTGCCGTAGTAAATTCATTTTGTATGACTGTGTCTTAAGGAGGCATTAATTAGTGGACATGTGCGTAATGTTAGTGGATCCTCGGGGGTTTTAATTGAGACATAATACAAACTAAGGAATTCTGTACAATGTTTGCAAGTATACCGCAGGGTTACTCAAATCAGCCATGTCACACGTATTGTAATAATGTAACGTCTTATTTATCTTCCGGCAATTTTTGCGAGTATCGCGTGGAAAATCATTATCCATTGTGAGACGCGCTCTGGATGGCGGAGAGTTTCATAATTGGACATCGAAAATTAATGCTCACAAGAGGGCGAGAATTCATGGGAATTGAGCTCTTCTTAATGAGTTCAAACTCGCGAGCTGTGGTCTCAAGGTTACTCACGTCTTGGGCTGAACAAAAGAGCTGTGCTTTTCTTCAGATGATATAGTCGAACAAATAGTGCAAATTTGCTAGAGAAACAGACGCAAATTTCAAGGTGATTCTGCTGGATATTTGATTAGGGGAGAGTGGAGCTGCTATGAAAATAACGTGTAGCATTGGCACTCTTTCAATGAAGGGATGAATTAGAAAATTAAAAGACTGCACATTTAGGCAGGACATCAACTAAGATGAGATATATAGAAGAATAGGGCAAATGAAAAGGATATTTTGGCGAAAGAAATTCTTTGTGCCTCATTCTCATCTAATACAAGCTATTTCTCTATCCAAAACAAGCCCTCGCTTCTCTATGAGCAGAGCATTAAGGTAAAAACGAGCTCCGAAATAGACTTTCCGTTATTGAAATGATTTCTTGGGCTTCTTACTTTTTTTCTTTCGGTCACCTGGCATTGCTGTATGGGGTCAGCATGGGCATCCATTGACTTATGCTGAATTGATTGACACATTTTTATGGCGCGATAGGCAAAGACGCTGAGAGTACAGTCATGCGTTTACCTGGCAATTTCTTCATCTATTTTTGTCCATCTCGCAGAGAGGCAGCTGAATATGGAGTCATGAGAAGAAAATATACCGTAAATTCTCATTTAATTATGTCGCATAGTGTTGGTATTTAAATAATACTAATTATTTCCTATGATTTATCCATGTGGCCTTATATTGTGTATGAATTTAATACACGTGTCTCGTTACTTCTATCCTTCTCTCGGGCAATTAATTAAAAATGCATTTTTCTCTCTTTAAATCCATCACATGCTATACAAATTTTCCATGTGACTTGGCTTGTATTGCCAGACAAGCTCTTTTCCACATTATACTTTGTCTCTTGTGCAGTTTTATTTTAAAAGGTGTGTCGACACTTTTTCACGTGAATTGCAACAAACATGTGAATGGAAGTTTAATATTTCACCTGTTTTCCTATTTACTTGCGAGTTGCTAAGGAGAAAAAAAGGCTGAAATGTCAAGTGAAACAGTGAGAGAATGGCACCCACAAGTTGAATTGAGAGAAGACACTTTTTCTAATGCACTTTGAGAGTTTAAAATGTTGGCACCTTTTTCCTCACAGAAATTAACAGAGGAGAAAAAAT